TTTCATCGATGTATGCGCAAGGCTCGGCCAGCGGTTCATATGGTACTTCGGGCAGCGACAGTTCAAGCCACCAGAACAGTTCATTGAATAATAGCCTGTCATGGGAGGCGAAGGGAGGGGATACTTTGTTATGCAATAAGTGAGTGATTCTACGAAGGATTCCAAGCCGGTGTATTCCAACTGACATTTCCGACACAGCCCTCCTGCTTGGTGTGGCACTGTTGCATCTTATTACAATTGGAGAATCTCAATGGTATGAATCCTATCATGGTCGATTAATCAAACTGGTGATATACCAGGGCTAACAGCTTCTACAGCAAGACGACCTCCTTTCCATCGAAGATATGATATCTATCATTCCTGGATATGAAAGCACCAAACGCAAGTTCAATAGCTTAGCTCCTAATGTGAATGGCAGCCCGAATCCGGTCCATCCCGTCCCGAAGGAATGGGACGGCAAGGTCACATTCTGGCTTAAACATCCAAATGAACTCTTATATCCCACCGTCGTGGAGGAAAATCCACTGTCCCAGAGTTAGTAGATATATGCCGCCGTACCACAGTAATTAAGTGGTCAGTCAGGAACGCTAACACACACTCAGCTCTAGCGAATTTGACACCAAGCCAAGCTGAATGGCTTAAGAGGTATATGCCCACTTATACATCATCATATTGTTTCAAAATGATGGAAGCAAACGACAATGATACCGCTACCCAAACTTTTGAAGCCGGCTATAAATTCTTTGAGATCTACGATGGAACAACTGTCCATAATAGGGTACGTTTGTTTTAATCATCGGCACTTACCTTACCTCTATCCAGTCTCCCTTAATCAATCATACACTAACAACAACTCAACTAACGCTGGTATAGTTCAAACCCGGCCAAAAGTACATCATCAAGAACAATAAGGTGGATATGTATCTAGGTGCCACGCCCCCCATTCCCGGAGGAACGCAAAAGTCCGTCCTGAACACTGCCAGCTGGGACAACAGCATCTATTTCCAGTTCACCCATGCCTTCGAAGCCGATAAGATGTACATAGCGAATCGCGATTTGGTGAGGGTGGAGCTCTTTGATTCCGCGGGGAAACCGATCGGGCCTTTGAAGAATGTTCCGCCGCTGGGGTCGTATGGGACCACGGGGGATATTTTCGTGTTCCGGTATAAAGGGGAGCCTTGAATATGTCGTAGAAACAGAGCCTGCAATATGGTAATTTTGTGGGTTAAAGGACAAGATTTTGAGGCCACGTTTGGGAAACTTGCATGAAATTGTGTGATTATAAAACAGCTTATCTTTAGCTTATTCAGGAGATATTTACCTGTCTTTGACCGCATTGAAGCCACACAATTGCTGACCAATAGTTTCGTGGGTGACCACTAGTGGATCTCGACTGTTGTACGCTTTTTTCTCTGTTTATTTTCATATTGCTAGGTCTAGTGCCCCTGCCGCCCAGTTCAGGCCCTTCTTCCACCTACCCACCCCTTTAGCTGAAGTTTTTCTTTCTGTCTCCTTTTCCTTCCGTCTCCACTTCTCTGCTCCCCAAGCTTGACCACTTACCTTGAGTCCCACTACAAACACCTTCAAGCAGCTATCAGGAAGCCCATTCCGCCCCGAACGTACAGCAACGGCGAGCCTATGAAATTGAAGAATTTGAATAAATGGCCGGTCTCTATATCAGTGAGTCCGGTTAGCGTCATCAGAGATGCGATCTTAGGAGGCTGGGGATTGTGACGAGCCAGCAGTCGTTCGAGAGCTACAGGTTAAGGAACATCTAGTGGCTTGAGACTCTTCGTACCCTAACGGTGACTAACAACCCACCTGATAACAAACGCTGAACAACCGTTACATAACTTCATGCATTGAGGTTTCGATTGCGCGTTCGACGGCAATTTATTCTAACCCTCAAGCCGTCGCAGTCTATTCCTCGAGCAACTTTCTGCGTTGTGACAGCCAGCCTTATTGACCAACTCCACCATGTTAGCTGAAACGAAAAGAAATCGATTTCCCAACAAAAGAGATCTAAACCTGATATGCTACCAATGGCTCTCCATCATGGCACCTATTGCTCAAGAATATAAACCCTAGCCCGATCTTTGATGATCATTGAGCTTCGCGAGCGCGGAATCTCGAGCATTACCTTAACTCTTGAGATTGTTGATATGAAATTCAGTCATCGGACATGCTACCGCAGTTTAACTGCGGTTCGCGTTTTATGGCCAATTAGCAGAACCAACATCCTTGGCAAGCAGTATGGGCAGATTATGAGGCCCGCTTCCTGCAGAGATATGCTAAGGTGGAAAGACCGGACTAGAACGCAGGGAAGTAATATTGACAGGATTGATGCCGCCAAAGAATTTCTTTTATCATTGTTATTAATATCAGCCAATTCCATTTGTGTGTTGTTCTTGACCAATTATCCGGACTAGAGATGATTGGTGAGATTTTAGCAAGGGTCAATACGTAGAGCTATATCCTGCCCTAACAGGGGGCTGAGATGTTCAGCTCAATCTTTAGTGTGTATACGTATGATTAGGAGCCCTACGTCTTCTCGGTGCGGTTATTATTATGGGTCTTTTAATTAATATCCTTTTCTAGGCTCAGGCTCCCATTCTTTACCTTAAATCGGGAACGCGCGTTTCTTTAAGGCTGATTGTGGGTTCTTCACACTTTATCTTTATCTTGGCCCTGGCTGAGCCTCCATCTAAGTCTGCATTTGTTCTCCAGTATAGAGTAGAGAGCAATTTGATATACATAGATAGCCCTAAGTATAGCACTGGTGGAGGCCATGTTCGTATTCGATATGGGATGAGTAGCACTATAAACGGACTCTTTAAGAACCATGACAAGGACACAAATATAAAAGGAGACCGAACGCCTTCTTCCTGGGTACATTCAAACTCAACTCAAGCTCACTCTTCTATCATCTTCTGCCACAATGCTACAGCATCCCATAATATCCCCTTACCAATTATCTACTCTATTCTATTTACTCCTTCATCAACCAATCAGTCACAATGAGACTCTCTTCCCTTCCAGCTTTACTCCTTACCAGTGTGCCCAGCCTTGTGTCAGCGGTGAAATCCAGGGCAAGGAAGTTAAAAAAAAAAGGACTCCATGACTCAGGCCAAAGCAAAGTTCACTAAGGATGGGCAATGCTTCTAATATCTGACCGGGGAAAGCGACTTTTTCACATGCGAAAAGACTTGTGGTTGCAAGCAGAATGAGGGCAGTATGGGTTGCGAAGGCCCTTCCGAAGAGTCCCCATACACGTATAAGGACCCTAATTCATGGTATTGCGTCCCAGGCACATGTCTGTGCAATGATGGCTTGAAGCCTGCCGAGACCGTTGCTTCTATGGTATTGGAGTCGTTGCAACACCTTGACGAGGTCCTCTGCGCGGAAGTATACGACGCGCTTGTAACCACGGCAAAGCTTGGGATCTCAGCTATTCCTGGTGGTATTACTGAGAGCCTTGGTGCACAGGTCGGCATTAAGGCTGCGAAGATGATCTTTAAGCATGGTCTGGGTTCGGACACCTTCAGGATATGGTACAATGGATTCTGCCCTTTGGGAAAGATTGGTAATGATGGTAAGTACACACTCTCTACCATTGATTATTGCGCCTTTCTAGTTGTTTTTTGTAAAGGATTAGGCCTATCAGAGGCTATATCTAAGCGGTGGATCCATGGATTAGTCAGAGCCACTGATAGGCCTAATCCTTTGCATTTTGCTTTCAGGGGAGTCTATGATGTAGGAACGAACTTATTTTCTCTGTCATGTTAGTTCTTTTTATGGGTATTGAAACAATACTTTATGTTGAAGAGGTATAGATAGCTAACAGGGTTACGGATTGCGAGGTGCTACTTGGTGAAGATAGTATATTTGAATATCGTGCGGTTCCTTAGCATCACACGGTTGTGTTCCTAGCTGGGTGAGAATCCCCTGAGAAATATGGCTACGTGGTCTATATCTAGAATGTTCTACATGAGCCACGTAGGGCTTGGTTGCCTATTGATGCCTCAGGCATAATTTTCTCAACAAATAATAATAATCCCTCTCCGCGACGCGCTCAGTAGGCCACCACTATGGGGGTTATAGGCCTCCATAGCGGTTCCTAAGGTCTTATCGGGCCTTTCTCGATTTAATTGACGCGTTAAAAAGACGTGCTTTGGTTGGGTGCTGATTTTGATGTTCCGAGTGCTCGGCGATCGTAATGTTCCGAATCTTACATCGCTGCGGAATGGGAGGAAGCCTTTCGGAAGTGCCGCGTGGGTAATATTTACTTAAGCATATGCGTACTCTGTACTGGGCTCGGCACTGAAGCCAGTAATGGCATCCCTATGCGGCCTATAGAGTATGACTGTTGCAGATCTCCGGTTTCAGATGACGCAATATCATTCGATGGGCCAAATTGAACCCACTGATCACGTCTCCAAATCATCTCGGGAAACGAGAGGGGCCTTTCTCTTGATGTTTGTCAATTCTAGCGGCCCCGCTCCCTCGTCGGACGAGAATTATTCAACCTACTTCTCTCCAAGAAGGTCTTCATAATCCTGAGTGCGAGCTTACTGTCCCTAAAGCAGTTGCTCCGTGCACACGTCCCCGGATTGTTCGGCAGTAGTGACTGCAGCCAGCAACGCTAGACTACTTAGACGTCTCGAGATTTGTGAACAAGAAACCTGGTACGACCAGTAGCTGACTTTTGGCCTCAAATGGGTTAGAGTTCTCTGTACTGGCTGAGTCACAAACATCTAGACCGCGTGGATGATTCTCCATATATAAGTTAGAAGCAATAGGTTGCCACATGGTCTCTACCCAGGAAGACTTCGAGCAATTTATTAGTCCAAATGAAGTACAGAGCTGCCCTTACTTATATTGCCTAATCCAAAGTAGAAATGTCTCTGACGTCTGTTTTCGTGGAATGGCCTGCATAATATACTAAAAATATCTAAGCGCATTCCTTCATAGCAGCGGGAATTGGAGAAGGCAAAAATATATGACAAGAAGGGGATTCGAACCCCTGCCTCTTTCGAGACTCGAAAGACAAAGTTATCTATGTCTAAGCTGATAATCAACTTGAGTCGAGCGCCTTAGACCGCTCGGCCATCTTGCCAATGTTATTGGTGGTTAGCTATTATTTTAGTTTCATGTAGCAAAACTTGCAACCGTACCTAATGCCCTATAAACATCCATCCTGAATTTAGCTACAAGTACCTACCGCAGTAGCTAGCGATCGCTATCTACCCTACTCCCTGGTGGCGTGAGCTTGGTCTAAATGGGCGGGCGTTGGGGTACCGGCGTTACCCGTCTCACGTTCTATAACACTCCGGCTACTGCGTCCTTTGGTGCGCTCCTAGGGCTCTTCGAGGCTGATCAGATGCGACAGCTCGAGAGATTGGACGAGGCCCAGGTGCGCCAATTGCTCATACAGAGCCTGGAGAGTATCTTTGGCGCCCATGCGGCCAAGCCGACCCAGATTATCCTTCAACGCTGGGATGTCGAAGAATTCTCGCGCGGTGGACCAGTCGCCTATGCTTCCACTGGCGTCCTCACTGACTATGGCACATCTCTAAGGGAACCTGCCGGCGGAATTCACTTTGCTGGCACAGAATCACCGCCCTATTGGACTGGCTATATGGATGGTGCTATCAGATCGGTCGAGCGGGTCGTGGTAGTGCTGGAAGGCCTTTAAGCACATGCTGTACTATGTGCTCGTGCAGTTGATGAAGCTAGAAGACACCGATATGCTCAGATTGGATGGTTTAGACTCTTTGCAAAGTCCTCAGTTCTGTCTTTATTTGGTTATTTACTTTCCTTGTCTCTTCCAAATCCTTATAGGTAGTCTCCATTGCTACATGACTGGATGTTGGACTGTTGATTCTCCTAAGCATAAAGTGACCTCGACACTCATTTAACTCGCTCTTCCCAATGCATCCTGGTCTCTATTACTGCCTTGCATAGTATCGCTAGTAGGAATGGTGTTTCTAGTTTATTTGACTAGTCCCTACCATTCCCCGCATGTATGTTTTGGAATAAGCCCATTATCCCTATATGAAAACCTTTTCGCCGATTATACGCATGGAAGGAGAACTACGAGAGTCGTCTTATAACTAAGTTACTCGAGAGAGCGATATAGACTTGAGTACCTATTTAGCACGACCATAGTCTCACTGACCGCACAACAACGGACTTCATTTACAGTCTCTCGTCATAACAGTCTGTTTCTGCCGTCCATCATCATAGAACATCCACCCGGTCTGCTGAAACCCAGCACTATCATAAAGACCGATACCCGCATTGCTCGCCTCCAAAGCAGCTGGGACGCCCTCTTCTTCCGACCGGTCAATACCCCATTGAAGTAACTTTCTTCCCACACCTCTCTTCTGGGCCTTGGGGCTGACACCCAAGAAGCACAAATACCAGGACTCGGCCGGCTGACGGGCCCTCACAGACTGGAGCTCCTTTTCCAAAGCCTTTACTCTCGGCTGGGAAATGGACCTCTTCGGCGAGCGAAACAGAAATGTGTACGCGTCCGTGAAATTGAGCTTAAATCGTTTTAACCCTGAATGGATATCCCGTTAATCCAAGCGCGTACAAACACACAAATATGTATAGCCAAAGAAGCGATGAGATAATGGACTAGGATCTTGGGCTCAAACATACTTCTGGTAATACTAGTTCCCTGCCAGCTTCTGGCCGCATCGCTAGATCCCTTCCGCTGCCAGACCGAGAATCCGACTACTTTATCTGGGTATGACCCGTCACCCTCAGGGTCCTGGATCGTGGCCGCGAGAATGAATGTACCCGGGTCATGGAATTCGGCTTGCAAGATACTTTTCCATAGTACCAAGAGATCTTCAGGGTGCGCGCGACCGCCGGGGTAGAACCAGTTGAAGAGAGGATCGTCCCGCCAGGCATCGGCTCCGATTTGATACAGCGGCTCTAATTGTTCGAGGGTGGTTACTCGATGCAGGGTTAGGGGGGCCATTTGATAGCAGTCCGAGAAGTAGTCAATTTAATAGATATAGTTGTAGTCTTGATTCTTACTGGGTTTAGTATTCCTCATTCGATTTCATATGATACTGCGAGGTACGTCTTGTATTTATCGCGCGATAGGGCAATAGCCAAGCCCCGAGGGCCGAGATCCGCCACTTGCGCAGGGCTTGTAGCACGAAGCTCCAACAGTAAGAGTTTCTCGGACCTGGACTCTTGGTATAGGCACACCAATTTCCCCTTGACTACTATCGAGCTTGGCTAAGAGTCTATAGTCAAGCTTGCCTGTCTTGTCTGTATCCGCTTTTCATTAAGTCCAACAATGCTCGAACCCCCGCCCGCTGTCCACACGATATATCCCGCAGCACATCTCTGCTTTTGATATAGCTCGTCGGCACAGCAATTTTGTACCAAGGGGCGGCGGACATGTAACCCGCCTTGAATAGTGCATACTGCCTATCACCGGGATCATAGTTAACAGGTATCAGAAATTGGGAAGACTTATAACCTTGCAGGTGCTTGTTAAATAAGAAAGTGAGATGCTTCTGTCTCATCGAGAGTGGAAGTCGGTTATCACCTTATCTGGAGACTTCGCAGTTGTGTTGGCGTAACCAGCACTTTAGCCCTCTATTGATTGATCAAGACCTTTGAAGAATGCGGGCTGGTCGATGCTGTCCCTGCTATTGGATAAATAAGGAAGACACTGGCAAAGACAGATAGTTGATTCCCTATCTACTTTTAACCCCACCGTAAAGTGAATTTATATTTCACGGTATAAATTTCGAGAAGCTTGTATCGCACACAGATTTCCCTTGCCTCTTCCAGGTGAAAGGATCTCTAGACCCGTTTGAGGTACCATAGAGTTAACAAAATGAGGGTAGTCTCGTGATCGCTCTTACTAATCCTGATAGGCACCAGGCAGAACCAGGCAACTGAAGACCACGAAGGCTCCAACAATCCCACAGAACTGGTTTGTTGACATCTGTCCTCGCCACAATATGGCGGCTGCGATCACAAAGTCCGCATGGAAAGTTATTCCCATGTTTCAATCGAGATCGGTTTCCCTCACGCTCCACTTCTACACTGAGATCCTCGGCTTCGAGCTCGGCAGCGTCAAGCCCGAAGGTGACACATCAGAGCTGACGTTTTGTTCGGTTTTCATGGGCAAGAAGGCCGATGCCAATTTCTATTTCTCAAAGGCCACCGACGAAGACTTTAAACCGTCTAGAGCAATGATCGCGCTTGGGACCCTAGAGTTGGATGAGTACTATGGATACTTAAAAGGTCGTGAAGAAGTGACACTTGCGGAAGACATTGAAGACACGCCATGGGGCTTTCGACAGTTTACCATTCAGGACATAGATGGGAATGAATTGACATTCTTCAAGTTCTTGGAGGGGGGAAACCCCGGCGAAGAATGAGCTGGTGTCGATACTGCATTGCTATTACTTTAGTATGATGGTGTTAATGATCTATGAAGTTTTTACTAGCCACTATCTTCGTATTTGCTTCGGTGCGCAGAGCTAGAGGGTGGACAATAATCAATGAAAGTAACACCCAAAGGACCTATATGTTCGTATAAGAAGTAGTCGATGTGAGCGTGTTCGACTTTAGTCTCCAAGTGCTACATCTACTAGATATCATATCAAGACATACGTTACATGGTAGCAGTAGTAGCAGTAGTAGCAGTAGCAGCAGCAGCAGTAGTAGTAGTAGTTACATGACATCCTCGTCACAGTGTTACTATTTCCCTGCCCGAATATGACTCAACCATATCAATTAGCCTTGGTCGAGTGGAGACAACCCCAATGCGAAGCTGGGTATTACAAAGTACAAAATTTTGCTGCTTTAATTAGCTGTCATGGTGTGGTGACCGGCGTAAATCTCCTAATTAGGCAAGAAAGGGAGGTTATCAAATTAGCGGCCAAGGGGTCTCGATATTCATAGCCAGTCCCTTTGATGATTTATCCATGAAGAATAGTCCAAAGTGGAGCTCCTGTTTGATATTATCTTTCCAATTCTTCTTTTCCTACTTCTGTAGTGGCACCTTTCGTTGTCGCCTGGACTAAGCGCTTCTCGCCTGGCAGGGTCTCACTGTGGGCGACTTTGTATTTGGACTCTCCCTAGACTTGGCCAGTTTTGGGACAACACTATGGCACTTCGAAATGACTCAAGGCGTCCTCAATAGGATTGGTACCTGCTTGGCTTATATAGTAGCTGTCACAATTGCTCGGACTTATACTTTGCGTCTTACCGGTGGTATCTCTTCTTACCTCGATTGCCAGCGGTACTATGGCCTGGGAACCTGAGACCAAAGCCCGAATTGAGATGGAGAACTCTACCAAGAATAGTCGCGCCGACGGCATTCTCAAATTACCCCTTGTAGATTTGCGCGTTGCCAGCACCCGGGAAATTCGCTGCCCAAGCACTCGGCACCACCTTCCAATCCGCAGCTTACTATACGCCCTCTCTCTCTTTCTTTTCTTTTTTTTTTTTTTCTTTTTTTTATTTCATCATTTGCGCGAACCCTTGGGTACAGCAACACGGCAAGCGCCAATTCCATTGCTCTCAGCAACGCACGTAAAGCTGCTGGCAAGATTGTGATTGGACAATGCACGATTCGCATTGTTGTCTGAGGCAACAAACCATGGCCACACTATGGGATATGAGATAAACCACCTAGAGTACAGTTATCTCGTGGTGCCAAACACGCACTAACCAACATACAAGTTCGCTGTAGCAATTTAAACAAGTAGTATATGGGCCATTGCGAACATACGGGTAGGTACTGATCCTACGGTGTGCCTTAACGGGTTTCAAATAGTAAGTATCAAATTGATCAAGGAGCAGTAGCCGACAAATGTACATTCTGTGGTCGCTAAAAAGATGACAGGCTATGACGACACGCAACAATTGAAAACAAGGTTCAATCGAACCAAAAGCAGATAAGCCCTCCATTATGGGTTTAAAAAGAGATTACATGACCTTCTGGCTTCGCCATGGCCGCAGTATATCGCACACCGTCCACCTTCATTCCCTGCGCATTCAGGAGAGTAATGAGACCGCCTTTATTGGAAAGTGCACAGCTCTGGAGCTGGAAACTCTGACGACGCTTAGGGG